TCCACCGGATGTCCCTGTCCACCGGATGTCCCAGTCCACCGGATGTCTCTGTCCACCGGATGTCCCAGTCCACCGGATGTCCCAGTCCACTGGATGTCCCAGTCCGTCTTTTTAAAACTTGGTTCCATCTTTTTTCTTTTCTGTCTCACTTCTCATCGTTTTGGTTCTGGGGACCCCTTACAGGAGAGAACTATTTCCAGGTACTCCCACATAAACACTTGTTAAAAACAATTTAGCCCTGAATGCCATGCATGGAATCTTCTTTGTTGGCTTGATGCATTAACCCCCCCCCCCCCCGCATGTATTTATGCAACTATTTGATTTTTTATGATGCAGCTCGAGGAGCCTGCAGGTCTTGGGACTCCAGGTTGAGAACGTCTGCTCCATGGGAGGGTTCCTTTATTATTTATCTTATTTATTGTTTGCTTTGAGTTCAATGTTAGATTTAATCTGTGAACATGTGATGCCAGTGACAGAAAGTCAAATATTTATATCAAAATCTCAATTCATAATCAAATTGTCTTTCAACAATCTACTCAAAATATTTCAATGCTTTACATTCAATCAGGGGCAGCACGGTGGTGCAACTGGTAGAGCTGCTGCCTCTCAGCAAGCAGGTCCCTGGTTCAAACCCCGGTCCAGGGGCCTTTCTGGGTGGAGTTTGCATGTTCTCTCCGTGCATGCGTGGGTTTTCTCCGGGTGCTCCAGTTTCCTCCCACAGACCAAAAACATGCATGTTAGGCTGATGGTAACTCTAAATTGTCCCTAGGTGTGAGTGAGAGAGTGAATGGTTGTTTGTCTCGTTTGTCTCTATGTGGCCCTGTGATGGACTGGAGACCTGTCCAGGGTGTCCCTGTGATGGACTGGAGACCCGTCCAGGGTGTCCCCCGCCCCTCACACAGTGATTGGTGGACATGGGCACCGGCGACCCCCGTGACCCAAAATGAAAGAAGCGGGTAAAGAAAATGGATGGATGGACATTCAATAAGATTTTAATTGTTGTACAAATATTTATACATTTTTCATTATTTATTTCAGGACACAACTTTTTGGCCTTTTTTAAAATTGTGATATAATTTGATTGAAGACACAAACACGCACACACGCACGCACACACGCAGAAACTGGACCTTCAGCGTCTCAAAGGCATTTTGCTGCCCCAACATTTTATCTCAGCTTTCTTATAAATTGGAAGTATAATTTTTACCCAAGCTGAAAAAGATTTAAGAAGAAATCTGCACCGAGCTCTGAAGAACCTCAAAAGATCGTTCCATATTTACACTTTATTGTGGAACTGAAACTGCAGAAGTTTAAAAGTCAAAGTTTAAAAGTCAAAGTGTAAAAGTCAAAGTGTAAAAGTCAAAGTGTAAAAGTCAAAGTGTAAAAGTCAAAGTGTAAAAGTCAAAGTGTAAAAGTCAAAGTGTAAAAGTCAAAGT